CGACCCAAACCACGTTCAGGGTACAAACCACATTTTTCGGCGCCTGCGGCGGGCATCTTTTGCATTCGTTTCAGGTGGAGAGCCCGCGGCCCACCCGCGACCACGTTCAGGGTACAAACCACATTTTTCGGCGCCTGCGGCGGGCATCTTTTGCATTCGTTCCTGGTGGAGAACCCGCGGCCCACCCGCGACCCAAACCACGTTCAGTGTACAAACCAATTTTTTTGGCGCCTGCGGCGGGCTGCTTTTGCATTCCTTCCAGGTGGAGGTGGAGAGCCCGCGACCCACCCGCGACCTAAACCACGTTCACTGAACAAACCAATGCCGCACAAGCGCGGCGGCGGATTTTTGCATGCCGTCTGAGCCCGCAAGGACCTCTTCAAGCCCCGCGCATCCACACCAGCCCGTCCAGCAACTTTGCCCTGGCGAGTTGCCTTGATCAGAGAAGGCGGGGAGCATAAAGTGGAAAAAAGGATTGCGTTGCAGTTATCTTGGGAAAGGAGGGGGAGGCAGGAGGAGTAAACAGGGGACGAGGAGAACGCGGAAGAAGAGAGGATGTAAGGAGAATGTGGAGAAAGAAAAGGAGGAGGAGCAGGAGGACGAGGAGGGGGAGGAGGGGGAGGAGGAGGACGAGGAGGGGGAGGAGGGGGAGGATGATGATGATGGACGACAATGGGAGGACGATGATGGAGGCCGATGAGGGGGAGGACGACAATGGGAGGACGATGATGAAAGGACGAGGGGGGGAGAGGGAGGACGAGGAAGAAGAGGAGGAGGACGAGGTGGAGGAGGAGGAGGACGACGATGACGATGAGGACGAGGACGAGGACGAGGAAGATGAGGAGGAGGAGGAGGAGGCGGAGGAGAAGGAGGAGGAGGAGGAGGAGGAGAGCGCCATCGACAGGGAAGGTGGTGGCCACGAGGTCCGCCGGCTCGACGACGCCCGCGTCGCCCGCGCCCGCCCCCTCACTCTTATCCGCAATTGCGGGGTGCAACGTGTGAAAAAGTGTGTATAACTGTATGTAGGTGTGGATGGATGCGTGTATGTATGTATGTATGTATGGATGTATGCATTCGTGCATGTATGTATGCATTGATGTGTGTATACATGTATGGTTGTATGCATGTATGTTATGCATGTATGTATGTTTGTATGTGTGTATGTATGTTTGTATGTACGTGTATGTGTATGTGCATGTATGTATATATGCACGTGTGTAAGTCAGTAATTGTGTATGTATGTTTGCCTGCCTGTCTGCCTGTCTGTCGGTCTGTCTGTCTGTCCGTTTGTCTGTATGTATGTACGCATGCATGTATGTGTGTATGTATGCATGTCTGTATGTAGGTAGCCCGCCAAAAGACCCCGGGAGGCGAACAGCAACTCTGGCACATGACCCAGGCGCACCCTTCAAAACCTCCACGCGGACGGCGGGATGGCGCAAGCCCCTTGAAGACAGGGTCAGGAAGTGTGGCGCCGAGCGTCGGGCGGTGTGGAGGAGATGGAGGCTGTGGCGCAGGGGGGTGCGCAAGCACGCGGACGGTGTGGAGCGTAGGGCTTGTCAAACTTACCCCCCCAGGGCCGAGGGCATTCAGCACGGGCGTTGTGGAGGGGACGGAGGCTGCGGATTAGTGGGCTGCGTTGGGGGGAGACGGAGGCTGTGGGGCATAAATGATTCACAAGGTAATGCGGGGCAAGACCGCGTTGAGTATTGGGTGGCGGGGAGGGGGCGGAGGTTGTGGAGTCGAGGGATGCGTGGAGGAGGCGGAAGCCGTGGAGTATACGGTGATTTTCGAGGACCACCTGGGGAACACTGTAGTGAGTACTGGGTGGCGTGGAGGACACGGGCGCTGCGGAGCAGAGTTTGGAGTGGAGGAGACTGGGGCTGTGGAATGTAAGGTGGTGTGGAAACTACTCTGGGCATTCCGGCGCTGAGCGTTGGTGGTGTGAAATAGGCCGAGGCTGCGGAGTAAGGGGTTGTGTGAGACCACGGAAGATATGGGCTAGACGGTTATGTCTAAGCTACCCCGAGGGAAGACCCCATTGAGTTTTGGGTGGTGTGTGGACGAGACGGAGGCCGTGGAGCAGCGGGCGGTGTGGAGGAGACGGAGGCTTATAGTCCGTGGTGTGGACAAAATGCGGGCTGCGGAATAAAAGCTTGCGGGCAAGGTGCCGCTCGCGGAGGACGAATTCGCCGGCCAACGTGCCAGAGGCGTGCTAAGATCTCCGGTAACTGCTAACAATATTTCTAGTTCGCGTGCGCGGGGCGGCCCCTGGGGGCCCCGGGACGAAAAGTACCCCGGCCGATCCCCGGCTGACCCCCGGGCGATCCCCAGGGGGGAGGCTATTTTTCGCCAACCCTCACGAGGATCGTGGCCTCCGAGGGGGTGGCTGCAATCGACTACCCCCCCTCCTGCCCCAAGGGGCCCCCAAGAGCCCCCCCAGAAGCCCCAGGGGAGCCCAAGACGCCGCCGAGGAGCCCCAAGAGACCCCCAAGAGGCCCCCAAGAGGCCCCTAGGAGGCCCCAAAGAGGCCCCCCAAGAGACTTCAAAGAGGCCCCATGGAGCGCTCGAGGGCCGGCGGAATGAGCGAAGCGATTAAACAAAAGCTTGCGGGCAAGGTGCCGCTCGCGGAGGACGGCGACGAGTACTCCAGATTTCGTAATAAAAGGGAGGGGGTCTCATTTCGGGGGGGGTCTCCTCCAGGCTATCTTGGAGAGACTGGGGGGGTCTGGGGACGATGTTTTGGCGGGTTCTCCCACGGGGGGGGGTCTAAAACTTCTCGTCTGGGAGGGTCCAGACCCCCTCCCTTTTATTACGAGATCTGGAGTATCGGGCGGTGTGGAACCTACGGAGGCCGTGGAGTAAGAGCTTGGTGTGGGCGGGGGCGGCGGGGGCGGGGCGGGGTGCGCGGCCTCCTCCACCTACTTCTGCTCCTTTCCTTCTTCCTCTTTCCTCCTCCTCCTCCTCCTCATCGTCCTTCTTCTGCTCCTCCATCCTCCTCCCGCCTCCTCCCCCTCCTCCCTCCTCCTCCTCCTCCTCCTCCTCCTCCTCCTCCTCCTCCTCCTCCTCCTCCTCCTCCTCCTCCTCCTCCTCTCCCTCCCGTTCCTCCTCCTCCTCCTCCTCCTCCTCCTCCTCCTCCTCCTCCTCCTCCCTCCTCCCTCCTCCCCGCCTCCTCCTCCTCCTCCTCCTCCTCCTCCTCTCCTCCTCCTCCTCCCTCCGCCTCCTCCTCCTCCTCCTACTCCTCCATCCTTCTCCAGCCTCTCCTCGGATGCCACGGTGACTTTGAAGAGCCACCCGCCACCAGCACTTCGAAGTCGCGAGAGAGCTTTCAGGAGGCGAGCCGGCCAGCATGGTGCGGCCAGCCCCAGAGACAACCGAACTCATTCGATCTGCGTGCTAGCCCTGTCCTCCCCCCTCCTCCCTCCTCCCTCTCCTCCTCGTCCCTCCTCCCCTCTCCCCTCCGCCCTCCTCCCTCCTCTCTTCTCCCCTCTGCTCCTGCTGCTGCTGCTCCTCCTCCTTCTTCCTGCAGCCCAGGAGAAGAACGTCTGAAGTGTCCGAGGCGAGCCACAGGAAAGCAACGACGGCCAACATCAACTCGCGACAGCAGGATCGAGAAGGGCATAGAAATGGTCCCTTCCTCCTCCTCCAACTCCTCCTCCAACCCCGTCCCCCCCACCCGAGAAGTGTCTTCCTGAACACGCGCCCCGCCGCGGCGCCATACCGGCAGGGGAGGAGGCGGAGAGCACGGCCCCGTCGCGCCCCGAGCGCGAGCGCTCCGGCGGCCTGATGCCCGAGGAAGAGGAGGGCAGCGCCACGCCACGGCAGCTCCGTGCAGCCTCTCGGTCCGTGGGGACGCTCGCGGTCCAGCACACGCCGTGTGCCCGCTGCCGCGGTGGCCGCGCCACGCGCTCGGGGCGTGTTTCGTGCCCCTGAGCGGCTCGCTCCCTCCGCCCCCTCTCGCGGCCGCGCCCTCCTCCTCCTCCTCCTCCTCCTCCTCCTCCTCCTCCTCCTCCTCCTCCTCCTCCTCCTCCTCCTCCTCCTCGCATGGTGCCTCCGCCTGCTCCAACGGCACCCCCGTCCGTGCAGGCCCTTCCGCCAGCGCCGACGACCCCTGCCTCGCCGCCGGCGCAGAAGAAGCGTGCCCGCTGCAGCGCTGGCATGATCTCAGGGATGGCAGCGTCTGCCCCCGTCGCTCCGGGTGGCGCCCTCGCCCCAGGGCGGGCCGCGCTTCGGGATCCGACCAGCTCCCCGACGCGCCACCGCCCCCTCCTCTTCGCCCCCTCCTCCGCCCTCCCCTGCCCCAGCTCCTCCTCCCGACTCCTCTGCCTCCCGCTCGCCCTCCCGCTCTCCGAGCGAAGCTCTGCCCCACCGAGTCTACCAGTCAGACGGACACGGGATCAGCACTCCATGAGCTCTTGATTCATTGCCTCGTCCTCGGGCTCATCTGCCACCTCCCCCCCTCCTCCGATGTACGCACGAAGCCTCTCCCCCTCTCTCTGTCAGTGCATCGCACGATGAGGCCAAGTCGGGGATCGAGGTCAACTACGACTCCCAAATCGGCGGAGACAACACAATCCAGTGCAGCGGGAAGGGATGGGTGGAAAGGGGCAGGATTTCAGACGTGACGCGAGCGCACCTAGCCAGCTTGCCTCGCCCTCTCCGCTCTCCTCGCCGTCGCTCGGACGTCCATTCCCCGACCACGCTTCGATCTCGTGCGTGCTGGTCTTGCCAGATGACCCAGGATGCTCCCCGATGCTCCGCGCCAGGAAGAAAACAAAAAAACACCCGTCCGAGCGATGCCGAGGCAGGGGGGCAGGATGCCAGGTGCGGCGCGAGCGCCCCTGGCCAGTTTGCCTCCTCCTCCTCCTCCTCCTCCTCCTCCTCCTCCTCCTCCTCCTCCTCCTCCTCCTCCTCCTCCTCCTCCTCCTCCAAGACGAGGCCCGGGAGGCCGGCGGCGTGCGGGCGACGCCGACGGTGTGGCGGCGACGACGCAGGCCCGCGTCCTCGGACGGCTCGGGGCTGTCGTCACCGGGCACCGGGGCGCTCGCGCAGCGCCTGGAGCGCGCCGCCAGCTGCGCCTGGGGTCGGGGGCGGCCGGGGGGAGGGGAGGAGGGCAGGGCGGCGGCACCATAGAGGTTCGATATGTTTTTGCTCGCGCGTCTGGGCATCTGGATGCAGGCTTCAGGGCACGGGGCCGTCGTGCGAGGGCAGCACATCCACCCCGGCAATAAGCAAACCGACGCGCGAAGCCGTTGAGTCAATGCTCGCGCGTCTGGACATCTGGATGCAGGCTTCAAGGCACGGGGCCGTCGTGCGAGGGCAGCACATCCACCCCGGCAAGAACCACACCGGCGCGGGAAGCCGTTGGGTAAACGCACCCGAAGGAGGAATCGAACAGGGCAGGGCTGCTCAGTACTGAGTAAACGCCCACGGCCGTTCAGGAAGAGCCAAATGTCCAGTCTGGATGGTTTTTCCTCCCTTGAGTCGTACATCGATGCTGGACGGGAAACGAGCCAGTGCGGACCCCATGACAGGTCAGGAACCTGGGGTCCGATTCTTGGAGGATTGCAAGGTACGAAGGCCGGAGGATCGAGGCTCAAGACTGTGGGGCGTTTTTTTTCTGGAGGGGGAGGGGGCTCGGTTGGGTCCACCCCGGGGTTGGTCTCAGAACGCACCCCTAGAGAGGCCCATGGGCTGAATTTGAAAAAGGAGGTGGGAGATGTGCGGGCAACATGTAAACCCTTATCCGCTACATTATGGAGTTTCGGGCTCCCTTCCACAGACACCCGAGGCGCAGAAGATGTGGATGAGAATCTTGCCCCTACAGGCTGCACTGTTATCCATATCCACTGAGCCTCGACCTGTTGTTTGGCGCCCCTTCCCGGAACGCCCGAGGCGCAGTGGAGATGTACATAAACCCTGCCCGCAGATGAGGAAGATCCAGGACCGCGGCTCCTCCTCAGGTTCCGTGGGCCCTTGCTCAATGGCAGGAGGACTTCAGGAGGGGGGGGGGGGGGCACACGTCGCACGGCTGGATCGGATCGACTCTCGGTCGGCCGTTGCCGCCGCGCCTGCTGATCCGGCTGGGCAGAACGTCGCCCGGGGGTGTACCGCATCTGTCGTCCTTCTTGAGCAGGGGGTCGACCGTCCTGGCACTTCTGTAGCCCTACCACAACTTTGTCTTGGATCGAAAGAATGCCCCAACAACAAAAATTATGCTAACGGAGTTCCCCACATAAAGAGATTAACGGTTTCGTGGGACCCCTGCTCCACCTCCCCCTCCTCCTCCTCCTCCTCCTCCTCCTCATCGTCCTCCTCCTCCTGCCCCTCTTCATCGTCCTCCTCTTGCTCCTGCCCCTCTTCCTCCTCCTCCGCCTCCTCATGCTCCTCATCCTTCTCCTGATCATCCCTCTCCTCATCCTGGTCCTCATCATCCCCCTCCTCGTCAGCATAATCCTCCGCATCATGAGCAGCAGGCAGAGCCTCCCTGGAAGCGTGGGAAAGTCACGAAACCGTGTAAATAGGAAGGTTTTCCGGTACCCTCCTCGCTCAGGCGGGGCCTCCCTGGAAGCGCGGGCGAGTCACAAAACCTTGTAAATGTAGTAAGGGTTTCTGATACCCTCCTCGCTCAGGCGGGGCCTCCGTGTAGGCGTGGGAAAGGTACGAAACTATGTAAATTGTATGGGTGGGTTTCCGATACCCTCGTCGCTCAGGCGGGGCCTCCCTGGAGGGGTGGGAGGGGCACGAAACCTGGTAAATAGTGCAGGTTTCCGATACCCTCCTCGCTCAGGCGGAGCCTCCCTGGAGAGGTGGGAAGGGCATGTAAATACACTGGTATGCCGATACCCTCCTCGCTCAGGCGGGGCCTCCCTGGAGGGGTGGGAGGAGCACGAAACTGTGTAAGTAGTATGGTGTGCCGATACCCTCCTCGCTCAGGCGGGGCCTCCCTGGAGAGGCGGGAGGGGCACAAAACCTGGTAAATAGTATGGTATGCCGATGCCCTCCTCGCTCAGGCGGGGCCTCCCTGGAGGGGCGGGAGGGGCACAAAACCTGGTAAATAGTATGGTATTCCGATAACCTCCTCGCTCAAGCGGGGCGTCCCTGGAGGGGCGGGAGGGGCACGAAACCTGTAAATAGTATGGTATGCCGATACCCTCCTCGTTCAGGCGGGGCCTCCCTGGAGGGGTGGGAGGAGCACGAAACCTGGTAAATAGTATGGTATGCCGATACCCTCCTCGTTCAGGCGGGGACTCCCTGGAGGGGCGGGAGGGGCACGAAACCGTGTAAATAGTATGGTATGCCGATGCCCTCCTCGCTCAGGCGGGGCCTCCCTGGAGGGGCGGGAGGGGCACGAAACCTGGTAAATAGTATGGCATGCCGATACTATCCTCGCTCAGGCGGGGCCTCCCTGGAGGGGTGGGAGGGGCAGGAAACCTGGTAAATAGAATGGTATGCCGATACCCTCCTCGCTCAGGCGGGGCGTCCCTGGAGGGGCGGGAGGGGCACAAAACCTTGTAAATAGTAGGGTATGCCGATACTATCCTCGCTCAGGCGGGGCCTCCCTGGAGGGGCGGGAGGGCCACGAAACCTGGTACATAGTATGGTATGCCGATACTCTCCTCGCTCAGGCGGGGCCTCCCTGGAGGGGCGAGAGGGGCACGAAACCTGGTAAATAGTATGGTTTGCCGATACCCTCCTCGCTCAGGCGGGGCCTCCCTGGAGGGCGGGAGGGGCACGAAACCGTGTAAATAGTATGGTATGCCGATACCCTCCTCGTTCAGGCGGGGCCTCCCTGGAGGGGCGGGAGGGCCACGAAACCTGGTAAATAGTATGGTTTGCCGATACCCTCCTCGTTCAGGCGGGGCCTCCCTGGAGAGGCGGGAGGGGCACGAAACCTGGTAAATAGTATGGTATGCCGAAGCCCTCCTCGCTCAGGCGGGGCCTCCCTGGAGGGGCGGGAGGGGAACGAAACCTGGTAAATAGTATGGTATGCCGATACTCTCCTCGCTCAGGCGGGGCCTCCCTGGAGGGGTCGGAGGGGCACGAAACCTGGTAAATAGTATGGTATGCCGATACCCTCCTCGCTCTGGCGGGGCCTCCCTGAAGGGGTGGGAGGGGCTCGTAACCTGATACATACTATGGTGTGCCGATACCCTCTTTGCTCTGGCCCCCCGGGAGGGGTGGCAGGGGCACGAAATCTGTGGCATGGTATGGTACGGTATGGTATGGTACGTATGATGTGGTATGGTATGACATGTGCGGTAGGTATAGTATGGTATGGTAGGTATGGTATGGCATGGTACGGTATGGTATGGTAAGGTATGGTATGTGCGGTAGGTATTGTATGGCATGGTGGGTATGGTATAACATGGTACGGAATGGTATGGCAAGGTATACTATGACATGTTAGGTATGGTATGGTGTGGTACAGTGTGGTATTGGTCAGAGAGTCCTGGTATGATGACATGGAATGGTATGGTATAGGATGGTATGGTATATTACGGGTAGGGACATGATATGGTATGGTATGGTATGGTATATTTTAGTATGGTATGCTATGTTATGGAATAGTATGCTATAGTTTAGTATGTTAGGGTATGGTATAGTTAGGTTTGGTATAGTTGAGTATGGTATTGGTATTGGTATTGGTATGGATGGTATGGTATGGTATGGTATAGTTTAGTATGGTATGTTATGGTTGTTATGGTATAGTTTAGTATGGTATGGTATGGTATAGTTAAGTTTTGGTATCGTTTAGTATGATATTGGTATTGGTATGGTATGGTATGGTGTAGCCGAGTATGGTATGTTATGGTATGGTACAGTTTAACACTGTATAGTTTAGTATGGTATGGTATGGTATAGTTTGGTATAGTTTAGTATGGTGTTGTATGGTATAGTTTAGTTTGGTATAGTTTGGCATGGCATAGTTTAGTATGGTGTAATGGAAGGAGGGAGGAGGAGAAGGAGAAGGAGAGGGCGTTCTGGGAAAACAAGAACCCCACTCAGGATGTGGGGAACAACGTTCTTAGAACATAAGCCCGATGTGTTCAATCAAGACTGCGTCCGTCAGTTCTAGGAAAATTTCGGGCGACTCGCAACATGTTCTCGGACCATTGTCTGGCGAGCTTCCGGGCAGGCCAGGACGCCTCGCCCCCGTTTGACCCTCACTGCCGCGCAGGACTCTGGACAGAGTCTGGCGCGGTTTGCCGCCCAAGCCTGCCGCGGCTGCGCGCAGCAGTGACCCAAGGCAGGAGGGACCTCTGGTGTGCGGCCTGCCTGCCATTGGGGGGGGGGAGGGGGAGGAGGAGGAGGAGGAGGAGGAGGAGGAGGAGGAGGAGGAGGAGGAGGAGGAGGAGGAGGAGGAAGGAGGAGGAGGAGGAGCAGGGCGCGCTCCGGGCGCGCACGCTGCTCCTGCCGCCACCGCACTCCGCGAGCGTGGGGACCCCGGCGGGCCCGCGCGAGAGATCACTCTCTCGCGGAGGGCCAGTCTGGCCGCGAGAGTGAGGAGGAGGAGGAGGAGGAGGAGGAGGAGGAGGAGGAGGAGGGGGAGGAGGAGCAGGAGGAGGAGGAGGAGGAGGAGGAGGGGAGGAGGAGGGGAGTGTCAGAACACCGTGGGGCATACCGCCCTTCCCCGTGGCGGGACATGGCCCCTGACATCGGCCGAGGCAGCCAGAGCTGGCGCCCGAGGCCGCCCGAGCTCCCCGTGGGGACTCCGGAAGGGCCCCTGGAGGGGGGGCGGCGAAGAGACCCCAGAGTTGGATCCGCCCCTCTGCTTCGCCAAAAGCGGGGCTGGTGTCAGAGGTTGACACCAACACCAAGATCGGCGGTGTGCCTCCCCCGAGGGAAGACGATCCCGATCTCGGTGACGGTGGTCATATTGTCGGCTTCCACGGCGACCGAAATGTTATTACCACCAACACCGAGACCTGGGATCAGCTCACCCCTGTGGAGGCAAACCCCCTGTGTTGGTGCTGGTGCCTATTCCCAGGCCTCCAGCGCGCCGAAACTCCCGAGACCTCGACCCGCGACCCGCCGTTGCCTCATCGCTCCTCGAGGGGGCCCCGGAGGCCACGGC